ACTATACTGTCCAAACAGGGACTGATTCTGGCCAATCAGTCCACATTCAGTTATTTGAAGAGAATGGTCTTCAAGATGGTTGCTATTCCAATCACAATACTTGAAAGGAGAGGGATATATCCACGCATGGGCAACAGATATGTCATACATACCATTGACGGCAGCACCTGAGGCAAACCTGGCCCTGCATACATTTCCATGTATGACTATGAGAGTTGACTCTGTTCACCAAGAATATGAAGAACTGTGTTGGGGGTGGGTGATAGGTCTGCACATCTCTGAGGGCTTCTGTACACACACAAAGCTGCAAATTAAGGGATTTCTATATACTGTACACTCTTGTCTTTACATGCCTCATAACAGTGTATGTCAACGTGTATTTTCCCATGCAGAGCACAATCAACTAGAACGTCCCATAACTCATGTACCACACCAGTGTGAGAACTTGTATGTCCCTCCCCCGAAAAAAACAACAACAACCCAATTTATCTGTTCTTATCTGCTCTCATTTTCCAGCTATTTTATCTGAATAGATTTTGGACAGCTTTGGTGACATGGGGTTCCTACATCTTGCTGGGACAATAATGGAGTTCATATCTCAAGAATTTTCAAATTGTGGAGAGCTAGGAGCATCTTAAAACAATTAAAAAAAATAATCCGATCAGATTTACCCAGGTAAAGCTTGAGCATTGTCAAAACTCTGGGTTTTGCTCCCCACTTTGCCTGTACAAGCCCACACAGTCTGAATGGTATATAGATTAAAATTTTATTATTAAAAATTAATGGCAGGGTCATGCTTGGTCTTCACTGAATGGCATTACTCTTTTGTAAGGAACACTTCTTACCATTTCCAAATCCTGACATTTTATACCGTTTGTTCCCTGTAAACATGTGTGAGACAGTGCCCCACTGGTTCCTCTCCGCTCTTACCCTCCCCCAACTGTTGCAGGGCAACCATGACATGTAAACTGAAAACCACACAGAGATTGACGTTTTTAGAGTTTTTGCATTTGCTGACATGTACAAACTGCATATCTATTTTAGAGAAAGCTTTATATAACTTGTAGGGGGAAGTAAAGAGAGAAAGACATTAAGTATGGTGACGGAGATGGAAAATGACTCTGTCATAAAAGAAACTATAAGCCCAACTTATTTGTCAAAAGATTGCATTTTAGTGGAGGCAGTACGCTTCTCCTTCAGCCAGAAGCAGTCTTTTAATTATAATTATAACCAGGAGAGGAGAGGAGGCATTAACTGATTTCGAGGAATCTGATCGAAAGCCAACAGTAAACTAAAAATCTATTTTACAGAGATAGAAGGATTAGGGAGGTGAGGGGCTTTCCCACACTCTGGGAAAGACCCTGCTCTGGTTTTTCCATAAAAACCTGCTGTGTTTAAGTGATAGGAAGGCATAGTCAAAAGAGAAAGACATATACATTCTAAATACAGGCATGCAACCACAGCCACTGTCATCGTGCATTTTCTGCACATCAGCAATCTCCACAGAATATTTTTACTACATTTTATGTATGTTTGAAACAAAGCTGCCAGAAGGAAAACTGCAACCAGTGTGTGTGTGTATGAATTAGTGCACACAGTGTATTAATAGATGGGGTTTTCCTTACGTATTCTCTGAAATAACTTTTCAGTTGTAAAAACTGGTGTGCGATCTTACAAACTACATGCATTTTAATGTTTGTTTTCTTAGCCAAGTAGCTATATAAGAACATCCAAGCTCTTGATTATACATAATGTCTGTGCAACATCAGCTTTCCTAACTTAATGTCTGGTAGATGAGTTGGGCTTCAAATCCCATAATCCTGTTGACCAAATTGACTGCAGATTATGGAAGTTAATGTGGAGGGCACAGAGTTGAGGAAAGCTGATCTATATAATCATAGACCTGCTGGAATGTAGCCACAGCTATTGTCATGAATTTTCATCAGCAAAAGTACATTTATACATGTTATATATTATACATGTTTTGATTAATCGAAAATTGTATTTAGGGTGTACTGGACTCCCCAAAGAATGTATCTGAAAGAATAGATATCAGCTTTTCTATGTTGAAGGTGTAAAAAATTTGGGGGTACACCGATATGGTCATGTGACCATCTGACATCTTTTTGGACTAGTGTTAATGTATGTAAGTACATTTATGGGAAAATCTCTAAATGTTAACAATGTTAATGTGATATTGAATTATATACCAAAGCTTTGGCATCTGAATGTTTGGAAGCTAAATTATGGTTGTATTGAGCATGGAGGGTGACTAAAAATCATTTTGAGAAACTGGAAAAGTGATATTATTCAGATGTTAAGGAATGGCTGTCAGAAATGTGCAATCTATCTTTTGGAAAAGATATATGTTAATATGGCAGAGATATTGTGATATTTTATAGTAATATTTTCTATTGATTATTAGTGTATTTATTAGTAAACCATGACTATTGATAAGTATAATATATAAGGGGTTTTTTTCTTCTTCCTTGGTTTGTTTGGGGTTGTTTTTTCCCCTAACTTTTTTCTTTGATTTTTGTTTCTATTATTTTTTTCTTTACGTTTAACGATTGTTTTGTTAATTGTATATGTTAAAAATGTAAAATTTAACAAAAGATTAAAAGAAGACTTTTATAGATATCAAAGTTGAGAATACTGACAAGTAATGCCTATTATAAATATTATGTAAACAGGTTTATAGATCAAAACTTTCCTCTTCCTTGACATTGTTTGATATTGCTCAGAATAACGCTGTGTATGTGTAACTTCAGTTGCTGACATCTGTGGCAACTATTGCTTTGTACTCCTTTAAACAGGCACCTCCCTTTGTGGACAGACATTTTAAATAAAGAAGAACACATGGTTTCTGTCAATCCTTCCTTATAAAATAAATTTCTTTTATTTTTCTCTTCTTTAATTTCATTACACCTCTGTTATGAAACTTTAGACTGTTCTTATGTTCTATAGCTTCTAGTCTGCATTTTAAATATTCTGCACTTTAGCTTGTATACTTTGATAGGAAAGCTGCCTCTGAACTTTACTGAAGAATAAGATACACATACTAAAAAAAGAACAAAAGCTTCAGTGATCTTGTGATAAATTTTCCAGTGACCAGAAAAGGGATCCACTCATATGATCTGTAAAAATAACAATGGGTATTGGAAAAATTTCCTACAATTGCAGCAATGAAACATGGCAAAATTTAGAGTCATTCAAGGGGACTTTCCAGCCTATTATTTCTAATTAAGGAACCTGCATTAGCTAAAGCTCAATCCCATGAATCTCCACTTGAAGGAAAGTCCTAGCAAATTTAATTAAACTATCTATTAATGATGCATAGGACCCTGCCTCATCTGGTATGGGGACATTTATTCAGCTAATACAATACTAAGATGCTGAGAAAAGCTGTTCCTGCACTGAAGCTATTGTAACTATTGTTACTCGTAGCAACACTGTCAATATTATGCAACATCACCATCAAATTGGATATTAACTATACCACAAGCCATATAGGTCAGATTAGGCAGTGCACTAAGACTTAAACTAGTTCAAGCCATGGTTTGCTGAAGTTAGGGTTCAAATCAGAGACACTGAAATTTATTGATGAAAACCCTGCTTTTGTTCCAGAAGTGCCCTCATCACTCACAAAGAACCACCTCCATTTCTTAACTGCCTTGTGGGCTGATGCAGAGTCTTGGGAAATGCATTTTTGTTCTGCGTGTTTGTGTTGGGAAGAAAGCACTCGCCTGTGCATGTCTCCAGTCTTCTGCATTATGAGTGAAGACACTGGTTCCCGATCATAGCCCTTTGTCCCAGCCTCCATTTTAGAAGCTATGGCAACAGAAGTGATACAAAAGATGGATCACATTTGCTCTCCAGACAGTTATATGCATGCCTTCAGCACATATGTTACGGATGGTTATGATGGATTAATGATAAATTAATTTATTGAGTTTTAATATTATTGTGGATGCTTTATTGTTAAATGTTTATCATGGACATTTTATTCTGTGGATATTTTATTGTTTATTATACATGTTTTAATTGTTCATTCTTGCTGTAAGCAGCTGTCTACAGGGATTGGGCAGCATACAAATTAATTAATTAAATATTGCTGCAGATTTTAAAAAGACAAGAACAGAATATCCTGCTATGCAGCTGTTCCTGACAACAGTTTTCAGGATTACGATATGTACTGGAAATTGGTTAACTTTAACATTCCATAACATAATAGTGAAGATGGGAAGAGTGACAAAAAAATGGAGGAAACAAAAGAAATAACCCAACGTAGTCCAAATGGGGGCTTCACTCACCCTCACTAAAGGTCTGGGCAAAGAGCCAAGACTTCAATGCTCTTCAAAGCATCAGCAGGTTGGGGATGTCCAGATCCTGGGGGGAACCTCATTTCAGAGGGCAGATGCTGCTACACAGAAGGTGCTCTTCTGGGGTCCCGATAGATTACATTGTTTAATCAAAGGAACACAGAACACACCAACCCTGCCAGAATGAATTGGCTGGGCAGATAATATGGGAGACAGGCGGTAGGGCTTTATAAGTCATGACCAGCACCTTGAATTGCACCCAGAAGCAAGATGAAACCAGTGCAGCTCACAAAGCAGAGGTATTATTGGGCATACCAAAGCATATCCATGATGCCCACGCCACTGTATTCTGGACCAGCTGAAGCTTCCAGGTGTGATTCAAGGGCAGCCCATGTAGAGTGCACTGCAGTAGTCAAGCCCTGAGGTGACCAGGACATGAGTGACTGTTGGAAGAGTCCCTGATCCACCCCAAAAACATGGTGGATAGTTCCAGATTCAAACAAAGAAATTGCCTGTTTCATGTATATTCCTAATGCAAATTGAATTTGGCAAAAGCTGCAATATGAATGAAGAAAAACGTACAGAGAAGTAAGAACTAAAGAAAAAACACATCCTGTAGATGCTTTATTATACCTTAATGAAAAGCATCAAAGCAGTAATTGAAATAATTATACTTACCAGCCCACTTAAGGCTACAATCCAGATGTAAGACCCAGAAGTTAAAAGCTACAAAACAAAAATGTGTAATTTAAAATGGAATTTAGATTGCACAGTCCTTAGACTAATATTATTTCAACACTAACTCAAATACAGTAATGGAGATTAACGTCACAGATTACATTTTTTGTGTAACAAAAGGGGCACAAGTTATGGTTTAAATCTTGCCATGAGTTTAGAACAAGATTTGCCAGTCAAATAAAAGGGGTTCCGAAGTATAGCAACTGAAAAATCGGCAGTAAGGTTGAATGAAAAGATGGAACAAACAGAGCTGAAAATTTGCTGAGATTTGCTAGCATTTTTTCGGTTGTAAAATTCTGCTTGATTTAATAATTGATTTTTCTCCAAAATCAATTATGAAAGCCAACTTCTAAGTAAACATGTAAAAAAGTGACTTTTTTTCATAAGCCATCTATATATTCAAGAAAAAACCACAGCTTTTAAAAACAAAACAGGTAACAAAAAAACTGAGAACTACACTCTTGCTCAGAAACTTGTTTATCAAAGGAAATACAAAAGGGCACCCTTTCTGTGTATCTTATATTAAAATATGTTCAATTCAGAAAAGAACAGGAAAACAGATCTGAAGTTTCAGATAGATTAGACATACTATGATGATTACATCAAACAGAGCAGTATTAAATAGAGATATATGTGTGTGTATGTGTTTGTGTCTGTGTATCTCACAAGTAATGAATCAACTATATTCCTCCCTGTCATTCCTGGAAAAAGAGCTAAAAATGAATATTTAACAAACTAAAAATGAACAATTTCCATTGGTAACTGCATTTTTCAGGCGACCAGAAATGGAATAAGGAGAGGTTGTTTAAAACTTTGCACACTACCTTCAAAATTCAAGCTATATTGTGTGCATCTGTTCCATTTTTAAAAGAACTTGCAATGCACAACATAGGGTTAATAATATTTTATATGCTTGAACATAAATTTCAGCAATCTGAAAATTTATCATGTCAGATACTTAATTACTCTGCAAGAGAGATAACCATTTAGCATTGTCTCAATTGCTCAGAGAATGATTACTTAACGGCACCTACCAGCTTGTTATGATAAGATCAGACAGCATAGCAAAGAAAGTAAAGCTGTGATAATATCTAAAGTTACTGCCTTAGCTGTAAGAGGGAAATGCTTAACCAAAATAATAGGATTTGCAAAACAACATCTTTATTTGGTCTGAATACTTAGGAAAGTGTGAAAAGGTCATCCAGACTAAATCCATATTAATAGCCTGAGCTGAAAGTTTGTTTACCAATGAAAAGTCATAGTTTATTATTGATATAGCTAAGTTATCTGTCAAACAAATTACCTAGGTGTTACAGAATTATTTAAAAATGGAAGAAACAGAAGATTAAGATCCTAATATTTACCAAACCAGATATCTCCTCGACATAAAATACTGGATGTTTAAAAAAAAATGAATTGTAGGGTAACACATTTATAAATAAGGAAATAAATAATAAAAACGGAATTAGCTAGTCTAGAATGAAGGCTCCAGTTCTGTAGGAAATTTTAAACCAAAATCTATGACAAAATGAAATACTAAATGCACACTGAAAGCTCGTTTCGCCATTGCTAGCAATTAAAAATAGGGTAAAACTACGGGCATACATTGTTCTACCTTCCATTGACTGGCAATATGCATATGTATTGAATGATCATGACTAAACTCCTACTGCTACATCTACCAATTTACTGCATATCTACAGATTACTTACAGTGTTTATTGCATTTTTAAAAATTAGTTTTGTAATTTTTAGGACTAAATATTCGGAAACGAGGGATGTTGTTCTAAAGGTCTCTAGAAAATAGTGTGTGCAAGGAAAATGCAGAACTACTAAATTAATGAAAAACAAATCAATACATACAAACCTGCAAACCCAATATATAAACCAGCGTCTTGTTTGTGATGGAAAATTGTCCTAGAATTTGTGTCACTTGCACTCTTGGAATGGAGCAATAAAATGGTACAAAAAGAGCAAATACAGGGCCCAAGCTGTTGAGACAAAATATAATGCAAAAAGGGGATATCAACAGAATTCTTACAGAAAGTATTAAGCCTCTCTTCTTTAACTAATTTGAATAATCAAATGCATCTTAGTGCTTTTAAAAATATTAAATATTGTATCCAGGTTTACTGACAGCAACATTCTAAATATCACAAAAGCTTTTTTTTGGTTTAAATTAGTTTTTAAAAAGTGCATTCAATAGTATAAAGCCCATAGTGGCCTTTGCCTGCTTCTCACTTACACTATGTAATAGGCCATAATTAAATCTAATTTCCTCATTCAGAAAGATCTAGAAAATGAGGTCCCTCCTTCACTTGATACCCAATCACTTGGTAGGAGTAACATCTCTGTCCTATCTTCTGCATGACCTATTCTTCTTGATCACACTTGATCTTTCTGAAGTCACCCAAGAGACAAATATTAGAAACTGATTTTTACATACAAATAATCTAGAAAAAGATAGTTTTATAAAAGCGGGAGAAGAAGTATATATTTGAATGTACAAAGGATAGTTTACATTGAGCTGCTATTTCGATATACAAGTAAGTACTGTAACAAACCCATGGAAATCAGTGCAAATGGTATTTGCTTTTAATTATTCAACCTTTCAAATCCAAATTGAAGAAACTTACATGTATAATCTCAGCATCCCTCTGAACTCAAACATAATCCATAGGTGCTTCTTTAAATAAGTAACTTTTTCAGCTATTTTCAAATACATTTCTATTCCTACAAATATTCTGTGTTAACAGAATACTAAACTCATATCCTCCCAAACATGGCTAAACCAGGCCAAACCAGGTACAGAAAGCTACAATGCAGACTTGGTCATGAGCAATTCAACAAACCAAAATTAATTAGATTAAATTAAGAAACCAACTTTTACCATGTTTATTTTTTTTTAAAAAAGAATAAATATGCAAATCAGAATACATTTTAAGAGTGGGGAAAAACTGTATCCTTAACAAAATGTGTCATTAAAATATTTATGAATTACTGTGAAGGACAGTAAATTTATTACAGACACATTCACGTGATATTACAGTGGGGCAAAAAAGTATTTAGTCAGCCACCAATTGTGCAAGTTCTCCCACTTAAAAAGATGAGAGAGGCCTGTAATTTTCAGCATAGGTATACCTCAACTATGAGAGACAAAATGGGGACA